TAAATTTTAGAAATAAAAAAATAATTTTTTAAAACAATAAATGTCATGCAATCTAAACCAGACATGCAAAAAAATGGGGAATAAAAAATTATAAGAGTTTTATTCACTCAGAAAGCATCACACAGATAGAGAAAAGAAATAAGTAAATAAAGAGCAATCAAGATATATGATTAAAACACTACAACCTATATCTCAAAGAAATTCTGGGCAAGAATAGAGAGACTAACAGAATATATGAATAAATAAATGAATGAGTGAGGGCCTGACCAGTGTTTCCTTGAAATTAAAAATGATTTGATTCCTCAAGGAGTTAAAAAAAAGTGTATTTAGATTTTTTAATAGAATTAATAACAATAAATCCAAATGTCTGTAGGTATGTTTGAAATTGCCTAATATCAGGAATTGAAACTACCAGAAAGAAAATCAAGTTATGCAAGAAAGCATTAAACAATGCCACAACACAGTGAGGTAATAAAAAGCTAAAGGAAAACATTTTTAGGCTAGGATTTTATACTCAACTAAAGTAATATTCCAGATATCTTAGATATACAGAGTGCAAGGTATTTTTTTCATATAATGCCTCAATAGGAAAATTACTATACTGATAAGAAATTAGGATTTTGTGAAATGATAGAATACAAGAAGCAATGGTGATTACAGAAACAAGGAAAATAGAGTAACAATGAAAACTCACTTCAATCAAAGGTGACTAACACATTTAAGAAAGTTATAATAGGAATAGAGAGGGAGTTAATAGAAAAATCAAATGGTAGATGAAATGCCCTCACTTAAAAAAAAATTATTATTACCAAGGAACAATATAGATTAAAATCCTTCAATCAAACAATCAATAAAAAGTAAAAGGTAAATATATGAAAACAAAGAAAGTATGGTAGGAAAACAGTAGAAGAAACATTACCTAAGAACATTCAATAAAGAAACAAAAGATAGTAATACATGTTATAACAATTATATGGAATCTTTGCAAAAGGGGCTAATCTGAAAGGACA